TCTTCCATTCTTGGCAATGCTCGCACTGTTGATATTTCCTTTCTTTTGCTTAAATAATTAATTATGAAATCCCCTTAATATGCGATCATTTAACCTATTACAATCTGGATAACTCACACCTCGCTAAACCGTCAGCTTCAATAAGACGAAGAATAAAGCCAATCCCTTTCATTGAAGCCCTAAAAATACGCAAAATCTCAAATATGTGTTAGTAAGACTTTGTAACCAGAACAAAATATTATTTCCCTGCGGGGTGTTTGTGTACAAATACATATTTAATAATGACCGAGGGAAATATCGGTTTCGGCTAGTTTCGGCCAAAACTGGCAGCTTCGGCTGCAGTTTCGGATTCGGCCAAAATTTAACCGAATCTTCGACTCGGTCGAAACTAGTCTTTGTTAGCGAATGAATTCGGATCAAGTTCGAAACGGATACAATTAATTGCCTAATATCGCTTGAGTTTCAGATCGCCACCCGGAGCTAAATTGTCAGGTGTCTGTCTGTGCGTTGAAATGTTCTTAAGTTACAAAAGAATTCAATTATGATTATCAGAGCTATAAACAACGGAACCGCACTGTGGTCCTTCACTGATTGTTCATTATGAGACAGCTCAATAATTTTTTTGCAACTATTTTTTGGTTGAAGCACGAAAGGGTTGGCTTGCCCGGGGAAGGACCACTCTCTCATAGAATACCTACATAAAATAGCAGCTGCTTTTCGTATGGTTTCGTGGGGTGGCAACGCATCTGCATTTTAATTCTTAATCGAGAATTGATAGATAGATGTCCATGGGCCACTGCATCCACTTGCTGGACTGTGTGCTCGTCTGTCACAGTTACTGTTTAAAAAAAATCTGAAATAGTTAACGAGTATGTTTGCTTAAGTTAAATAATTGTCCGACTAGGTAGATCGACCTTCGACCAAGAGATCAATCGACGGATCCAACCCGGCTGGGCAACGTACATGTGAACAAAATTGAAGTGTATGTCTGTAATATCGAATAAACTGTCTTTTATTGAGCTAAGAGGGTTATTTGCATAATTAACCATTTTTAAACTTTGTGTCTATCTGTCAGTCTGTCCGGACTAATCTTCGTAACAGCTGAATCGATTGTTATGAAAGTTCACAAACAGATGGAGGGTAATGCTGGGAGTGATATAAGATATATTTTATTCGAAAGACTTGGGGAGTTATGATTATGTCAAATTTAAATAACGCCACATTATTAGATCCTACCCAGGCGAAGCCCGGGCGAGTCGCTATATAAGTTGTAGTTTTGTGGGTTTCTAAATATTTTTATACCTATATTATTTTAAAAATCACGTATTTTACTAACAAATCGTAAAGCGACGAAGAAAATGATATTGATGCTCAAGTAACATGTAACATTTATTGTTTGACCTTGAAACAAATAAATATAAAAAAATTAATTCCTTAACACAAAAGAGGAAAACAGATTATTTTTATATAGATGTTATAATTTACTTGAATTAATATTACGTACTGTACTCAAATTATATTCCATTATAATATAACAACAAAAAATATCTTTAGAAACTGTGCCTTTGAACTAATATCCTTTGAACTCGATCGCTTAGTTACGCCAAGAATTCATGAATGCGATATTTACTCTTGACCTTAAACAAAATTATAGTCGTAAAGTCCTTTATATCCCCAAATACTCGCCAAGCTGAAAACCCATCTACTCGAAATTTTTAGCATTACCCGTATAATTGGAGTCCTCCAGGTTCAATTGTATCTATTCAAATAATAAGGGGGATACTAAGGACAATTTTATTAATACAAAAGGACAAATTTATTCAAAACATTAACTCTATATTTTTGTACTACCAAGCTATTTCTAATTTGTTTTGTGTGGTTAATTGTGTAACATACATGATTGTAAGCTGTTATTTAAAAAAAAAGTCCCGCTGGGTTTCTTGCTGGTTCTTCCCAGGACAGAGGTTTTTTTTCTACCCAGTGGTAATCAAACAAAAAAGTGACAATAAGTATTATGTATAATCTATATTGAATAAATAAAGTTTCTGTTTCTGTTTCTATTACACAGGTATATTATGTAAAGTGTGATAAATCAGTGCAAAATTTGCAATAGAAAACTACCGAGCTCCACTTTTAGTCACCACAGGAATATGATTTTCAAGATCTGGAATGGACTTACTAGATCGTTCTACAAAATTTTATTTACTTAAAGCGGATTTTCAATCGTCAGATAAAAGATGATCACTCTTATTATATTATCACTCTTGCCTTGAACACACCCAGATTGTGATCGGGCGGAAAGTCAGACGCCGGCAGTATATTCCACTAATTTGCTGTGCGATTTACGAAATACGAATGGTTTGGTTGTAATGAGTGGAATATTATCAACAAAGGGGGTGAAGACCAGCGGTGGTTGGCGGACATTTACTTGCCCTAAAACCTTTTCATAAATGAGAGGCCTGTGCCCAAACTGACTGTGGGAATTATATATAGGTAGGCTGTTACTTTACTTTACTTTTAGTCGAGTATTTAACGGTAGAAGCCCATGTAAGCTTTAGCTGTTGTATGCTGTAACAAATAATAGCGCTCGGAGAAAACAAGGGTCCGTCAATGATGATTAAAGAATACGGCACAAAGTGTAAGGCTTACACTAAATCGCAAACAAGTTTCGTCCACAGCTGAAGATTATAAAGTTATAATCTTGTATTTGAGCTAATAATTATTGGTTCGAATTCATGAATGTAACATTCGCTACTGCATCTAACTCATTATTCTTATATTAAGCAACTTGTTTAAACACCATCAAATTAGTGCGGCAAGTAATGCAATAAAAATTATGTTAATGTAAGCTTAAACTCTATAGCAAATTTATGTAGGCTTACCCATAATTTTTTTTATAATTTGTCAAAAAAGGCAAATGACATCATACTTTGATGTGACCTTTTTTGTATGTAAGTCCCAAAGGACCGCAGTCCGAGTAACTCCAATAAAATAGCTTTCAACCCAATAAAAACAGGGTAATATCAGTTGAGCTACGTCTACTTGGATAAGGATGTCGGCAGTAATAAAAACGCATGGAAACGTGACGGCGCCATCGGCGCGAAGCACATAAAATATAGCGGCATTGGCAACACACGTTAACATTTTAGTTTAATCGCGGACCACAACGTATTCTTTGAATTAAATGAGTTTAAATTAATTGTTTTATACAAACTATATACATAATTATACAAACTAAAAGCCATTATAAACTTTAATGAACTACGAGCTACGAACCGTTTAATCGTTCCGCTTCTTCTAAATTAACTTGCACAAAAATTACTAAGTGTACTATACAAACAAGTGGGATGCAGGAAGTAAAAACTGCGTAAGAACCTCCGAAGGAGGCGCAGTTATAGCCGAAATAAGAATTTTTAATTTTGTGGTTTTTGGGCATTTTAACCCCCTAAGAGTGTAATGAGAACATTTTGCCCCTATTCAACCATGACCCCATGACATCACAGGATAGGCTATTCAAACTTACTAGGCCTAAATTTCGAGTCACCCCCCAACTCATTTCTAGTCTTTACTTCCAATTAAGATTTATTAAAAAAAATATTGGTCTTCGAATAATCCAATACACTTGGTGGACCCTACTAATAGACTGCATAGCAACTAAGGACAAGGAAACATGAAAGGTTAACTTTATATAGATGGATATTTAGTAATCCCGAATGAACTTTATATCCTCAAACAAGTCCTTCATACAACCTAATAAATATAATGAGGAGATATAATATTTGAAAATAACAAACATTTTTAGTCTCGCTGCGGAGATATTTATCAGGACGTAGAAATAGAAATTACATTGCACAATTAATTTTAATCAACTTATTTAAAATAGTTTCGTAGAGTGAGATCATCTCATTTTAAGTTTAATTACATTTTTCATTAAATAAAAGGTCAAAAGTTAGATAGCAAACAAACAAGAACGGAGCGCCTGCTTGGGCATCAGCCAACCACGTTGATTTTTTCGCGTTCTCGTATTATTATTTTGAAACGGAATATGAAGGAATTTTTGACTTTAATATTCACTAATTACGTAGAATACTAACTGTGCCTGTGACTTTGTCCGTGATAAGACAAAAAAAATAAGGTCAGGAATCCACACAGACAAGAATTAAGAACTGGTTGAAATAATACTCTGAAACAAAATCTAAATTGATCGTGTTCAACTGAGCTCTGTTAGATTTATGTGAGTTTTAAAAATCAAATACACAAATAAAAACCCATTTGAAACAGTTTGTTCTAGGTAAGGTAAGAGAAATTGTGGGACTATAGGCTAGTATACTCGTATAATTCATGTTAGTCCTCAGGAGTAGCCTTCTTTGTTTGAAGTTAGTAGTAGGTGTCGATGAGCTCTAGCAGCCACTTACCATTAGGTGAACTCGGAGCACGTTTATTTACTCTAAGATAATAAAAATATATGTATTTATATAATGATTCTAGAAAGTCCATAATTCAAAATGATACTGGACATTTACGTAAAATGTTACATGGAAATATGATTAACTAAACTGTAAAACAATAATTTGCCTGTAAACGGAGCTGATTTAGCTTCACGAAGAAAAATAAACTAATTTACATTAACAATATAGAAAAGTTTTATTTTTTGAATAAATCGTTATTATATAATCTGTTAGTAACCGTGTAACTCCTGAATGACTTGAACGATTGAGGTCATATTTAAAAATATATTATTTGTTTTGTTGCGACGATGGTACAAGATCCGATAGATAGCGTTGTAGTCTAGTTAACAAGAAATTCTATATTTAAGTACCAAAATGATTCATATTCACAATTTATATTGGTTTATCGCCAAAAAACTTTACAATGTCAAAATTTGTGTAAATAGATAATGTAATTAAGAAATCAATCTCACTATCGCCACCTACCGGAAATTTTAGAATAACGTCTACCGGACTAGCTTGTACTTATAAAAACCTTCCATTAAAACTCACCGGGATCTGCAACAACAGGCCCAAGAGGATCAAATCGAACGCGATGCTCTACAGCTGCTCGAGCAGCGCAAACAAGGTCTGAAAAGAACCTGTGCCTCCTTAAAGCCAGTTCGTCACGACCCACAGGCGTAGCCGGGGGCTCTCGCGGCCCCTCATTCTCACCAAGGTTTTCTATATTTTTTTCAAACACCTCATCGTCGTCTGAACACAACTCCTGCACATTCGTCGGACGCTGTTCAGGTATATCGTTGTTACTGCTCGGAGTAAATTTCAAGATGCCGGTAGATTTCCGTCTACCTGTTGGACGTACGTCAACGTTTGTTCGAGCTAGTTCCTTTTCAAGATTAACCAGTTCTTCCAGTGTAGCAACATTGCGACTACAGTCTATTGAAAACCGTTTAAAATCCATTCGAGACGTTTTGTAATCAACGGAATATCGTTTTTTCATTATATTTCTTTTAAGTACCATATTATGGTCAACATCATCGACATCTGTATCACAACTAACTGATTCCTCAAAAACATTAGTTCCGTCAACATTAGCAACGGTGTACGAAGGAACTTTAATTGTAATCTCTTTATCGTCAACATGTTCCCTTGACTCGGGTTCTGTGTTCGTCGAGCTATCGCTCTTTCTATTGTCGTCATTTTCTGTGTTCGTTGCACTGTCGCTCTTTCTATTGTCATTTTCTGTGTTCGTTGCACTGTCGCTCTTTCTATTGATGTCATTTTCACTATTTTCGTTCACATTTTGCTTATCTTGCACATTCGATTCAGACAAAGAAGACATGTTTTCTGGTTTTGATTTGCTCTTGCTCAATTTCTTAGTCGGTCGAGCACAACAACTTTTAAACATAATTCTAAAGAGAATGTAAAGTTAAAAATGTTCAATGTTTGAACAGAAAGAAAGATTTTTGAAGTGAATGAACACCGACCAATAATACTCCATTAAACTATTTAATTTAAAATAGCAATTCATATATTCTAAATAATGCATTGATAAGAGCCAGTTCTGTTCAGTTCAGCCACTCGAAGAACATGATAAATGTTTTGGTGAGTGCGTGCGTGTCGCAGCCGGCCGGGCGCACGGCGGCGGGCGACTGACGGCACTGACGCAGGGCGGATGCGCCGCCCGCCCGGGGCTGCTACCTCCCGCGCTCATTTCCCACGCGAACCCAGCATCTTTTAGCCTTCCTAATACTGCATAAATAGTTAATCCGATTTGAAAATTATCTTAAAAAGCTAGCAAGGTTCTCATTTACTTTTTTATCTTACTCTATACAATTTAGTAATCAATTTTATTTTGCATTAATTCCTTTCAATGGTATTAAAATATATCCTACGGACATCGCCAATCAATTTTTAAACTTTATATCAGGTAACAGAACCACAAAAAGGTAAAAAAAGCGTTGTTATAGGCCGGCCTAACTGAAACGCTGAAATGAGGGCTCACTAGCACAGTAGCTAAACATTTGGTTACAAATCTGCGAATTCCACAGACCAGACGTAGGTTCCATAGGTATAATTTCCATTACAGTAGTTATAGTAGCTTACAACACAGTGAAGGGCAGTAACAATATAACGACATAGTCAAGAGAAGTTGCGTTTTCCGGTTCAGTACTTGAATTTCAGCTAGAAATCATAATCTGTACAAGGAAACCATAGCCTCAATATACGAGAGGCGTTCAATGTATTCTCGGTATGGGTACGTTAGAAAAAAGATAAAATTATGAAATATTTTTTATTTTTCAATATAGCCTCCAATGACATCAATACATTTAAGACTTGTTCGTGAAAAAAGCTTTTCCATTCCCTTCAAAAAAATATTCGTTTTGGCCTGAAAATGCTCATTTACAGCGGGCTTGAGCTCATTATCGTCAGCAAATCGCTTTCCCCGAAGGTCTTGAAAAGTAGTTAGTAGGTGCTAGATCTGAGCTGTATGGTGGGTGGTTAATTTCCTCAAACCTGCAGTCTCATACAGCAGCCTTGGAGAGTCGCGCCGGGAGAACCGGTGCGATGTCATGAAGAAACAGCACACCTTGGTCAGCTTTCCTCTTCTCTTTTCTTTTATTGCTTCTCTCAAACAACGTCAAGTTACTGAGTATTTATGAGTTGATGGTTTCACCTCTTTTTGTGTATTGATCAATAGTATTCCTTTGGAATCCTAAAACACTGTAACCATGATTTTACCGGCTGATGGGGTGACTTTGAATTTCTTGGGGGGTCTGATCCTTTTTTATGCTATTGCATAGACTCCTGTTTACTCTCAGGGTCATAATGTTGAACCCACGTTTCATCTCCTGCAACTATCCTATCGAAAACAATTGTTGGGTTGTCACCACACAGCTTTAAATACTCTCTACAACAGTCAACCCGCGCCTACTTTTGAAGCGCAGTGAGCATTCGCGGCACCCATCTTGCACTGACTTTTGTGATGTTGAGATAGTCTAATGATTTTTTTCTAATTACCCACATTATTAGCAAATCACCCTAATACCCAGAATACATTGAACGCCCCTCGTACAGTCAATCTAGCAAGCGGATGCTAAAAGACATTAATAAAAATTTAATTTTGGTCAATTTAAACAATTACAGCATTTCTTCAACATTATGGGAGAAGCCCACGTCCGTATGTATTAATGATGTCCGGGTCCGTGTGTATATATGTAATCTAGTTGTATGTCAATAAACTTACTGCAAAAATAAACAATATTTTAACTGAATTAAATAAAGTATAATATAATAATCAGCGAAACCGAAGAAAAAGACGTTTAATCTTTTCGAGGCCTTTTTGTTTTGAAATTACATGAAGGCGTGGTTGGCGGTAATTGACTTGGGTAGAATAGACAATAGAGGCCGTCAACAGTCATCTGCAGCTAACGACTCGTTGCTGGGTGCAAGTGTAATCCGCTTATGTTTCCCGACAAATTGTTTAGCTATTGTAACTACTACATCGAGAAAAACGATCATCAAGCTATTAAAAAATAATGCATCTTTGACGACATAGATTAAAAATCAAAATATTACGAAAATATCCAACATTTGTTGATGAAATGGGTCAAATATAAATGTAATAGAGACTCACTGATGAGGAAACTAAATTGAGCCCCTGGCCCTGCCTATAATGTCGAAAACTGTGTTAGTAGTCGCTAGGATGTTTTATGAGTTTTTAGTCACAATTCCTCAGAGAATAAGAATCGTATATACGGAACGATAGGGCTAGCATATCTCTAAAATTAAAAGCCCCAAAAAAACGATTACAATTACAACACTACCCCATATCATCCCGTGGGTGTCGTAAGAGGCGACAGAGGGAAACAAATCATGAGATGGCATCAGCATTTTCCTAATAACGACCAAAAATAAAAAACTACGGTTGCCAATCCGCTTGGCAAGCGCAGCCACTGTGGCAAATGAGGCAATCTATAGGGGAGACCCTATCTTCAGCAGTTTACTTTAATAGGCTGTAAAGGTAACGGTAACAGAGTGACTATGTTTGCTTGTTCACTTTGTCGCACTATGTTTCATCTACAGATCATTCAAGCAAATTATATCCTTTGCAGGTTAGTAAATTTAGATTATATTCAGAAGTTATAGACAAAGTCTACATTCGTCCCACAACTGGGAGATAGAGCACGCTTATCCGATGAGTTGCACTAGTGTGTGTTGGGCCACTGCCATTATTTGATCCTCCTACATGCAAGTTTTGACCCGATTAATCTGTACTTATGGTTAACAATTTCATTGGAACTGGTGGGGATCAAACTCGGGTTTCTCTCTATGTGGGTAGATGAGTTGCACTAGTGTGTGTTGGGCCACTGCCATTATTTGATCCTCCTACATGCAAGTTTTGACCCGATTAATCTGTACTTATGGTTAACAATTTCGTTGGAACTGGTGGGGATCGAACTCGGGTTTCTCTCTATGTGGGTAGGATTTGTACAAATAATCAATGGAATTTTACTATGAGACATAACTGCAATGTATAAACTACCACCGAAAGTTTTTATTAAGCCAACTTAATAAAAATTAAAACTTAAGACAATAGTGTATAGAAGACTTAAAGCTCCTACTTCAGAATGTGGAGTACTTAATTTATTCTTTTTAGCTCTCTGAAGTCAGCTTTAACTTTTGTTAAAGTAAAATTTAATTTTTTTTTACTCCTTGAATTGATTAAAGAATATCACAATCTCAATATCGTCTTCTTTAGACATTGAGATTGTTTTAAAAACTTCATCTCCTACTTTGTCACCTGGTGGATTTTCTTCTCTAAATTTATATGAGGCTACCCTTAAAGTATAACCTATTTAATAAAAAAGTAATGTAAATCAGTTAGTTCACAATCTTAAATTGTATAATTTGAAAAATGGTGCCAAAGATAGATTTTATGTTTCCAACAGTTATCAGTTATCTCTTTATATAAAACTTAATTGCCGTCCGTTAGTCTCGCTAAAACTCAAAAACAGCTAGACATATTTTGATGAAAGTTTTTGTGTTTGAATGGGTCCCAAGATGGTTTATATTCACATTTGGACCAGGTAGGCGGCGCTGTTGTCGAGATCACCGGTACGAAATCAGGGCGGATTGCTAGTTCAAAATGTATAGCACATATTTAGTTTACTGACCTATTGGACTGTCAGTTGACTCTAATTCTACTGCAGATATTTTAATGACAGATACTATTACGCAAAGAAACTGAGCTTGCCAGTAGCTGTAGGCAACTTTGAGTCCCAACCAATTTATCAATTAATTGGAAAGTTGACTGTGCTTTGCAAAAGTGCTGCTGCAGTATTATAGCCGACTCTATCATCATGTATATATTGATAGCAATAGCTTAATAGCCTTAATATTTGATAAACTAGCTGAAAGTAGCAGAAATATTTGATGTGTTGAAAGCAAATCACTTTTTAGCAACTCCTAACTATGTGATGTTCTATTTTAATTAACACAGTTAAATTTAACTTGTGCCAACCTAATATAAAACTTGTCTACGTGTCCTCATCATACTTTGCAAATTATATTATGATCTATGGGTCTTTTTAGGGTTCTGTACCCAACGAGTAACCAATGGAACCCTATTACTAAGCCTCTGCTGTCCATCTGTCTGTCTGTCAGCCGGCTGTACCTCATGATCTGTAATAGGTAGATAGTTGAAATTGTCACAGAATGTGTTTTTCCATTGCTACTATAACAACAAATAATAAGAATAAATTAAAATTTTATGGGGGCTCCTCTACTAGAAACCTGTGATGGTACGGAACCCTTCATGCGCAAGTCCGATTCACACTGGATGGTTTTTTTTTTAATTTTATAAGTACTAACCTTTCTCTTTTGCATTTATACAACTAAATAAAATTGAAGCGTCTGTTTGTAATGTCAAAATAACAGCACTTTACTAAATGAAAAATTATATGGTACTTATAACAAAAAAAATTTAAAAATTTTTGTCTGTCTGTCTGTTCGGCCTAATCTCCAAAACGACTGGGCCGATTTTGAAGAAACTTTCACTGGCAGATAGCCGATGTTATAAAGAGTAACTTAGGTTACTTTTATTTTAGAAAAAAAACTAGGATTGTGCACAAAAAAAGAAGTTAAAACCAATGAAATCTAATCGTAATAAATACCACACAGGCAGTCACGGAGAATAGCTAATTTAAAATAAACACTTTTACAGAACTAGAGGTGAACACACATTATTCTCTAATTTGATAAAAAAAAATATGCCGTATAAACCATAGCCACCTCTTACAATACGGACATGGTAATAGCCACCACCACATGACAAACTGATTACATTAGTAGAAGTAAAATAAAGGAATGATCTTTTATTTTTCATTTGGAATAACAACAGCTATG